TGCGTGAGAGAAGGTAACACCAAGACGACAACATTTGTTACAGCGAATAATTTAACCTTGCCAGTAAATAAGAGCAGGGCCTACGAGGAGTTGCAGTCGAATCTTGGGATACGAGTGGGTGATAAAAGTCAGCAAAGCGATTGGGATCGACAATTCCCACCTCAAGGAGCCTGGACTGTGCCTGGAATGACATGGTGAGCAAGGGAGGGAGGAGACACAGAAAGGAAAAGCTAAAAAGACCAAGATAATTCAGCCTAGCTAAGAAGCTGCTGGGGTAGAAACTACAGTGGCCTAAAATCGGGGAGAAAGCAAAGAGATRAAACATGGTGAGTTTGCCTCGTGAAGGTTACTACATCCAGGGAAATCCACACCTGGCTTGGGAAGTTCCCGAGCTGCCGCAGTGAGGAAAATAGAGCAGTRTTTCCCCAGATTAGCTGTGCTGTGTTAGTGCCCTCCTCTCGGAGCGCATCTGCTCCTGGTTACTAGTAAACAGGATACCCGGCCAGATGGATTTCTGGGCTGATCTACTATGACTTTTTATGGCATTACACAGGATTTCATCCGTTAACCTCCGAGCTCGTGGCAGCTGATTCCTGCCGAAGAGGTGGAATTGAGTTTAAAAAGCACAAAAAAGGGCGGCTACAGAAAGCCAACTTTGACAGTAAGGGGCTCTGTGCTAGGTGMTACTTACAGTCTCATCCAGCTACTAATCCCTCTTGCAACGGAGCMGCTGGATCAGTCCTGCCAGAATATTTTCCAGCAGTCACTTTGGCATAAGAAACCAAAGCGTTGTCAATACAGAGGGCTGGAACAGCATGAAAAGTCCCAAAGAAGAAAAATACGCGTGGAACTAAGCAGGACAAGGACGGAGACATCAACATTTGCAAGAAATTTTACTCTTAAATGGGAGCTCATTAACCTAAGGGAAGGAGAGACGTGGGATATCAGCTTGTCACCACAGCCCGCGAGCCACCAGCTTGATCCGGCAGGGAAGGATACTGGGATGAGGAACTTAYCTGCACACGAAGGAGGAAAGGGCTGTTTTCCCGGAGGACACCACCACCCAAGGCCACACAGGTAGGTCCCGGCCGCGGTCGGGAGAACGGGAAGCGTTTCCCACCCCTCAGCGAGCCCAGCCCGGCCTCGGCCAGCAGGGACTTCACCGAAAACACGATGGGATCAAAAATACGTCGGCGGGGCCGCCTAGGGCGCGAGCTGCGCCCCGTCCTTGCAACCCAACTGCTCTTCAAACTGCTCCGCAGACGGACGCTTTGCCAAGCCCGGAAAACGCGATTTTGAGGCAAGCAGTGTTTGGAGAAACAGCTGCAAAGTTGAAGTGTTTTTGCAGGGCTTTTCGCCGGCTTTACCAAGCCGAGAGTCCAACGTTGTCACCACGAGCAGTGTTTTTGCCGAAGGGTTTCCGTGCCCCCGCACTGGGGTACCACCACACTAGAAAAAGAGACCCCCAACAGCAACAGCAGAGCCTTTCTGGGCCTTACTGCAAAAATCACCACTCTACCTGCGCTTTAGAGCTACCGCACACAAGCCCTGACCTATATTCCTGCTTCTCCCTCTGTTTTCACATTTGCGGAGCAGGGATACAAGACATCCCGCAAAGCTGCGATGGGAACAGATTCTCGGGCTGCTTGGAGACCTCAGTTCTGGTTCAGCCCCATCGCCGCCGATGCAGATGGGGTTCGTTCAGTGCAAAAAAATGGAATTACCCGTTTCCAAACGCCACAGTCCGGCCTGCGCGGGGGCTCCGGCGGCGACCCGTCCCCGGCAGCTCCCGCTGGAAGCGGGCTCGGGGCCACGGCGAGCGCGCGGCCGCTCTCCCCGGCGGCTTCCCCGCCATCACTCCCTGCCGCTTCCCGGGCTCTGCGCGCGCTGCCGCGGGCCCCGGGACCCGCCGAGGGGGGTCGCGCCGCGGCCCGCGCCCCCCGTTCCCGGGGAAGGGCCCGGCGCAAGTCGGGAGCGCGGGGGGAGCCCGCTGCGCCCGCCGCCAAGGCGAGAGGAGGCACCCGGGCAGCG